TGCTGGCACTATGAGGAGCACAGGGACTGGCTTCTCGCTGGGACTCTGAGGAGCACAGGGACTGGCCTCCTGCTGGTGCCCCGAGTCAGCACTAAACATACATGGGGGAGACAGCCTCTTAAGACAGCTGAAATCTGGAACAGTCTTCCTGAAAATGTGAGACAGGCTTGTTTAGCTGAAGGATTGCATCTTCACTTTTAAATGCTCTGTGATTATATATGATTTTAAATATCTTGTGTGATTGTTTCTTCACATGATCCTAAATGATTCAATATTGACTCAGTCCTTTCATATCTACTTTAACTATAAATATTTACATTAAATCAAGGATACTGTATGTTATCGTGGTCTATTTTTTGTTGCATTATCATGAAAGAATCTAGCAAAAAACAAAATTAATAAATACAATTATGCATGTAAGTAGTAAGTAAGTAAGTAATCTTTATTTATGTACCGCCTTTTCACTGCAGATCTGAGTCTCAAAGCGGTTTACAATTGTTAATTTTGGGCATTTGTCTCTCACTCCACACAGAGATGGGAGCGGGGTCACCAGTACAGGAGGCACATGCCTGAACTATTGGGCATATTTTTAGTGGTAGGGGAAACCGGAGTACCCGGAGGAAACCTACGCAGACACGGGGAGAACATGCAAACTCCACTCAGAAAGGCCCTGGTCCGACCGGGATTCGAACCCAGGACCTTCTTGCTGAGAGGCGAGAATGCTATCCACTCTGCCACCGTGCCGCCCTGTGTATTCTCTATTGTGTACAGTGTGTGTGTGTGTTCTCCATTGAGTACAATTATATTACAACTGCAAACAAGTCGTTTTCTGCCATTTCTGTGTCATGAAAGTAGCTCTCCAATAAAAAAAAAAAAACCTTTGGAGAGCCCTGGGTTTGCATATTCTATAACTTAAGTCCGACCACAGAGAAAGCCCCGTCCCTCCGGGGGCTACTAGGTGTTCCAACCAGAAAACATTATGGTTCAAACTTCCCTAAAGCGTCGATAATTTAACATTTGACTGTTCCCAGCGCTACCTCAGCTGCTCCCTCCAAAAAAACCTCTCTCCTGATTTTCTGCTCCACTTTCCGACCCTCTCCTCGACTCATAATTTATCCGTCGCTGTCTCTTTCCGTCCCATCGCTTCACTTTTTCAGTCTCTCTTCGTTCTTCCCCGCGGCTACGCTTCTCACACAATCCTCTTTGACTGAGCACATCTGCCTCTTACATTTTTTAACTACGGGGTGCACGCTACGCCCGCTCGCTTTTAGTATTAGCTTTGAGTATTTTGCCTTATGGTTTTTTTTCTTTTATGTTTAAATGGTTTTTTTTTCCTCCTCCACCTCCTTCTGAACAAATTGACAATTGAATCCTCTTAAAATCTGCAAATCCTGCTTTGAGCCGCGTTGGTAATTAGGAGACTTTACCAGACGCAGTCGATGTGTGTGTTTGTGTTTTGTGTTTGCGTGTGTGTTTGTGTGTGTGTTTGTGTGTTCGTGTTTGTGTGTGAGTGGAAAGAATGCTCCATACAGTCTCCTGTCTAACTAAGATCTCAGCGTTTAAAGCTGGGGTACCTCACTTTTCTGTTTCGTAGTTACCTCTTGTTGTTTGTCCCAAAAAAAGTCTTGTAAAAAGTAAAATGGTGGAACAAATCAGACCACAACATGCTGTCATTCATTTATTATTAAACATGATTTATTTTGCACATTTGTGAGTCACTAGTTGATGCTGAGAGCTGATTGGCCGAGTGAGGGTGGTCCGCTCTTATTCACTTTTTATGTCTGAAAATGTTGATCTGAAGATATGACAGAGGCCAAACATACATGCATGAGAAAAACTATCGACAAAACCAATTTGTTTTGAGAGCGAGGAACTAGTTATTGTTAGAGTTTGTTGTGGTATAAAAGTTAGGTATCCCAGCTTTAGTTCAAACTAAACGGTAAATGTGTCTTGGTCTGCTGCTGTAATGATATACATTTGGATTCATATTATTAATAAGGCGTTGGTTTTAATGAGCACTTTTCGAACAATCAAATACACTCTGTACACCACTACTGTCGCTACAGCTGCCCTGGGGCACACTGACAGAAGCAAGGCAACCATCAGTATGTTCCATCGGCTTCTCCTCCCTCTATCTCTGACTACTCATGCACTCATTCTAGGCAATGTGGCTGAAGCGTCTTGCATGTCGATAGTTTGGTTTCATACAGTAGCTTTACCCGAAACAAGACAGTCTCAGACATTTGTAGGCTGGGGCGCCAAATAATGAAACAAAAAAAATATTAATATTGTAAAGCGCTTCAGCTGGAAAAAGACAACCTCACATCATTTTTAGACAGGTGCGGAAAAAAATGTCTGACTCTGGTCTGTGAAAGGCAATATATAAATAAAAATGACTTACTTACTTACTAACAATCAAATGACAAAAAATATAACTCAGAAAGACAATCCTTCTGACTTGTTCTGAGTTCTAGAAAAGAGTTCACATGGATGTATTCATTTAATTCAGAGGGCCGCTGCTGCTCTCAGCCCATAGGGTCAAAAAGTGACTCACAGGGCTCATTCTTCCAAGAGCAAAACAGCAGAGCTCGTAATGAAAATGTTTTACTCAAATGATGAAGATGATCATTTCTGATTTGCATTTTACTTCTATAAGAATCTTTCAGTTGGAACAAACAAAATGTATATTTATGAAACAAAAATAGTTAAGTACCCCAGCTTTAAGCCTCAGTAAAACAGTCCAGTAAAGTAAACAAGACTTTTTTTTCTGTTGTTTTGAATGTTTTTCATTAGTGTTTGTTTGGAGGAGACACAACACCGGTTTATGATCCATTTAGAAATAAAAATGTCCCTTTTAAAATTCCATCTTTTAAATAAACGTGCATTTGTAAGCGGCGTGCAGAGGACTGTTTAAATATGCAGAAGCGGATTACTCAAACACAGATGCACAAATTAAACAAAGCGCAAAGTTCTTGATGCTGGAAGAAAATCAGAACTTGGCACAAAAAAGCCAACTCAAAACAAAGTTGCTGTTTTGCAGAAAAAGCAGAAAGTCTTTTAAAGGCTGGGTTCTGGTATCGCCCGATTGTCTGCGGAGGTGAGAGCATCTCCTCTGTTCTTATCTCCTCTCCTCCTCTCCTCTTTTTTAATTAAGCCGCAGCACATCACAGACTCAGGCACAAAAAGCACTGGACAAAGCACAAAGCAGCGCTCAGCAGCAACGCCAACAATGTACGGTGTAAGCAGAGGACGCAGAGGCAGCTCCGGCTCTCGCTCTAGTCCTCCTCGCTCCTGGAACGATCAAACCACTCTCCTCCGGGCTGCAGCAGGTCCAAGAGCTGTAGCTAATCTATCTATCTCTATACCTATTTGTTTCTTTCACAAATACATGTTTTCCATCGATATGGAAAGCGTGTTGTGAATAAATCATTTCAGTGTCTTTATGACGAGTGATGAAGATTAAGCATAAATACAGACTGGAAGACTAAAAAAGATATCATGCCTGCCACTGGCTCCTCCCCCTCAGCTGCTCAGTAACACACCTGTGCTCATCATCACTTCATAGCGGCATTAAACAGAGCAACTCAGTTCTTTGCAGCTTCACGCTTCTGTTTAAGCAGCAACCCCCCTCCTCCCCATCACCACCTCTGGAGTATCATGTCATGTCTTCGGCTCAGCTTCTTTGCCACCAGGTCTAGGCCCCGTAGGGGTTGCAAGCTCATATTTTCTATTAAACTCCCTCCTGCCTGGGTCTAATCGGCAATATTTCATGTTGAAATGCAATACATATACTAGTACACAATTTATTTTTATTTATTTATTTATTTGATAGGGAAAATGCACATTAATGAGCATCAGTATAAAACAAATGTAAATATGCCGGATTATAGCTACCAAGCTAGTTTTCATCCGTAATCAATGCGTCTGCTGGTGTCTATTCATGCAATCTTAACAATAAATATTTTCAAAGGCAATCTTTTTCTTGAGTCTTTCTAGAATTATACTAAAGCTGAGAGCTGATTGAGGATGCTTCTCTCTATTTTTATTGCCATTGTAAGTACTGTTGTGGAAATTCTGCACATACCGAGAGTAAAATAATGTAAACAACTCAGAGCTGTAATTCCAAACACAGCGTGAGTTTATTCATTAGTAAATGTGCACAATTACAATGAATAACAGAACCGATACCAATACCACCGGGCAGCCGTCTGAAACCGACTGCCACGATTGAGGAAATGACTGTACATTAAATAGACCAGAGTAAACAAACACATATCTACTCTAGATATTACATAAATGAAGTCAACATTGATATGTGTTGCTCAAGGCTTCTCTTTACGCGTCCTAACGCTGATACAACTCTGATATATGTAACAATCTGCTTTTGAACTGAACATATTGTTCCATGACCCAGGTCAAAGACATGATGCAGCACGTCTCCATCTATCACCGACCTGCTGCCAACAGAGCATTATGGCCTGTATCTGAATCCAGAGTTGACTGTTAGTTAATAACTTACACTCATAACTATTTGGTGTTAATTCAGATTGCTTTACTAAAATATTTCTATAACAGTACGTTGAGAACTCGTGGTGCAAACAAGTTCTCAACGTAAAAATATAGATACAAGGCATGCATAAAAAAATACAAATATTCATAACATTTATTATGAATCTTTCATGTTATATTTAATATTCTTTAAAATTTCATAGAATTTGAATGTCACCGTTGCTGTCACCGAAGCTGATTGAAAGATGTAACTGGGACCAAAACATACAGTACATGTGAAAACTAGAAATAGAACCAAACTGTTGTGAGAGCGGGAACTATAGTTACAAGTTATTATGTTGTGGGTTCGAAAGTTTTGTACTCCAGGTTGGACTGTGGGCTAGAATATAGGAGTTAATAACTATTGTATAAAGATGGCTGGATGGATAAAGGGATTTTTACATTTGGACTGATGAATCTGTTTACTTCCTCTGCAGTGTGCGATAGTGTTGTTATTGTAAAGACAGTGTGGTGCGCAGCTGGTGGCCCTTCACACCCCACTCCTCCTCAGTCTGCTCCCTCTCCACCTCGGTCTGCTCCCTCTCCTTCCTCTCCACCTCGGTCTGCTCCCTCTCCTTCCTTTCCTCCTCGGTCTGCTCCCTCTCCTTCCTTTCCTCCTCGGTCTGCTCCAACTCCTTCCTCTCCTCCTCAGTCTTCTCCAACTCCTTCCTCTCCTCCTCAGTCTGCTCCAACTCCTTCCTCTCCTCCTCAGTCTTCTCCAACTCCTTCCTCTCCTCCTCAGTCTTCTCCAACTCCTTCCTCTCCTCCTCAGTCTTCTCCAACTCCTTCCTTTCCTCCTCAGTCTTCTCCCTCTCCTTCCTTTCCTCCTCAGTCTTCTCCAACTCCTTCCTCTCCTCCTCAGTCTTCTCCAACTCCTTCCTCTCCTCCTCAGTCTTCTCCAACTCCTTCCTCTCCTCCTCAGTCTTCTCCAACTCCTTCCTTTCCTCCTCAGTCTTCTCCCTCTCCTTCCTTTCCTCCTCAGTCTTCTCCAACTCCTTCCTCTCCTCCTCGGTCTGCTCCCTCTCCTGCCTCTGCTCTCTCTCCTCCCTCTCCTTCCTCTCCTCCTCGGCCTGCTCCCTCTCCTGCCTCTGCTCTCTCTCCTCCCTCTCCTTCCTCTCCTCCTCGGCCTGCTCCCTCTCCTTCCTCTGATCCGTCTCCTCCTCCGTCTCCTCCCTCTCCTCCTCGGTCTGCTGGTGTTTTTGAGCAGTCGTTTGTCACTTCGCCCACGCTCTGCAGCTCAAACCTCTGCGAACACCAACTCCTTCGGGACATTTTGTTTTTGACACCAAACCCTGCGCAGATGTAGAAACTGCCACGTCCCAAATATCCACTAATAATCCTCAGCGTTTTTAACCGAGGACGCGGCGTTCTTCTTCTACAGTCATCAAAGTAATCACGAGTCAAGATTGCTCCAGCAAAAGGTTTTTAGTTTGTGATTGAAGACAGAGACGCCGTGTCACCAGGAGGATATTTTATTATTAGGTTATGAGGCTGGAATGAAGGATTATTTATATTAAAGTGAAGGTCAGCCACTTTTCAAATTGTGAAGATGGAGAGAGATGTTTTGCAAGCGTCAGTTAGACCCGCCCCCACAGCTTCCTGATTCCTTCACAGACGGCTGAGGCCTCTCCCCATTGGTCAAACTATTCTCCTCCAGCAAATCTTACTGGTGGTGGTTATCCCAATCAGTGGGACTGTTTAACACTATAAACTACCACTAGAACTCCCAGAGCTGTCATTTTGACTGCTCCCATTCAAACCAATGCAATCCCAAGACATTTCCTCAAAGAAGTTACATTTTCCACCATTTTGTTGTAATTTTTTGTTTTACCATAACTCACTTTTACTAAAAGCTATCACTGGTGAATATAACTTGAAATCCAGCAAAAACCGTTTATTGAAAGACTATCAAATGCTAACTGCTGGCAAGTAAACAGTGTGTTGCTATGGTAACTGCTTACATTTCATAGAAATAATAGCATAAAAATAAACTACAAAGAAACAGAAAAATTCACACAGTTATGAAGACCAAATACAGTATGTACATCCGCTGAGTAATTACACTTCCAAAACTAAAAGCTGTCAAATGGACTGCTTTGGGAATGTGTTCAAATATTTTTGTTATGAAAAATACTGATGCTACAGGGTCTTATGGTCAAAAATATGTATTATTTTCAAAATGAACCTTACTTATAGTCAGAATAAAACAGTGCTCAGACCTATGGGCATGTCTCTGTGTTCGCACCTCAGCAGTTGTGAGTTTTTCTGAGCCAAATAAAATTATATAAATACTTGATCCAGACAGTTACACAGATCACCCTCAATATATGATTTCTCCCTATTTGCATTTTTTCTATTCTGAGTGAAAGTATGGCTACTATCTGCCAATAAATAAACAAAACCTCTAAAACATAACCCTAAAGTTGTACGTGAACACAACAACATCTATTGACACATATTTATCTCAGTCACACAGGGATGTAGATAAATATTTGTCTATCAATGCCGTAAGCAATTGCAGTTTTGTGAAATTATGAAAATTTGTATAATGTTTTAATATTGCAGGATAAAATATATCACTTAATGTCATGTCTGAAAAATACACAATAACAATATTTACTGTTGGAATGACGCACATATTAGAGACTGAAAAGTTCACTCAGTCCATAAGAGTATAAAACCCACAATGTGAGGGATTGAGCAGTGCTGAAGTCTGCAGAGAAAGACCAGAGGGCAGAGAGATGGAGAGACAAATGAAACAAGTAATAAAAAATGAAAATACTAATCTGGGGAACAGGCTCCGCAGATGAGTTTGTTCTGAAGAAATCCATCATCGTAATCAGAGTCTGGGACACGAGGCGAAAGAGCGCTCAGAATGTACCGTATAGGGCCGGGAACAGCTCCTATAAGCAGGCCTGGGTTACTCATATAGATGGACAATGAAGCCAAATAGGAAAGTGCTCATAGACAAAGTTTTGACTCTGACTCACTCTGGCACCTATTGACTTGTATTGAAAAGTAAACTCATCTAGCTGATTAAAAGTTTTTTTCAGCTCAACCCTTTAATGTTCACTCCTTGAAGATAGCAATGTAAAGTTTGGGGGAGCACAATTAACAATACACAAAAAAAAACACATTTGTAATTATAGGCCTTTACCTAATGGTTGAGATTCAGTTAGAGGGTAAAATCAAATTACCCTGGTGTTTATATTATAGCAACAGGTCTATTGGATACATAAGTCTCAAAAGTGTATTACAATTAAAGTCATTGCAACAAAGTATTGACATAGCAGTAAATCACAGTTAGGGATGTACCGATCCAGATTTTTTGTGATCCGATCCGATTCCGATATTCTTAAATATTGTTTTGCCGATACCGATCCGATACGATCCAATTTTTTCTAATATTTTCAAAGCTTTAAAATTTTTGCCACCGGTATAACTTTAAAATGCTTTATTTTTTTTATATTTATTATATCATGATCAAAAATATTGTTTGGCTTTTGCTTAACAGACCTACTGAGTTAGGTCATACTGTAGGTAAGAATCACTATCAGTATTGAATATTTCAACCTTTAAAATAAACTTGATATAAAAGAAAATCAAAGAGGAAAATGTATCAAAAAGCGGCCCTCAACATTCAGTATAACAAAAATAAAAGAGCTGGTACATAACTGAATGACCACAAAATGCCAGTACTTAAAGCTGCACTAACTGACTTTAATTTTGTATTAATTACGAAAGTGCTATCCATGTCCATGCAGTACATTGGGATATACGTCCTTTTGAAGAAAAAGTAGCGCAGATTTGTGCTGGCGTGTCATTATATTTTAGATCGAGTTTTGATGAAACAAGGAAGAGATGTGTTTCGGGTCTCAGATTGTGACCACTCACAGTGGACCAATAGCCCCCACTTTCGTGAGAAATCTACAGGTCCGTTTGCACAGACAGCTGAGTTAGCACAACGAGCCGAGGAGCTAACCTGAAGCTTTGTGTGTCTCTGTCACCAGTTACTGCTTACACAGCGAGACAGCCATCCAAAAGAAAGTCCCGTTCCTCCGCGCTTCCCGGTTCCATCGTTCTATGGTCACGCTCTGTCCCGACAGTGGGTGTGTGTGTGGGGGGCGATAGCTTCGTGAGTGCGGGGAGGGGAGCAGAAAGAGAGAGGCCAGCGAGGCCGCGGCTTCAAAATCCCAAAGTCAGTTAGTGCAGCTTTAACCAGTGTATGAACTCTGTAAATGTAAACTCCCCGATATTTAACAAATCCGATAATATCCGATCCTTACAAAATACCCATATCGGCCCCCGATACCGATACTGAACATCGGATCGGTACATCGGTACATCCCTAATCACAATATCTGTTTTTGAAATGAAAAGAGTCTTGGAGGAAAGATATAAGCAAAATTGATCTTTTTGAGCTTTTAACCATGTTACAATCAAAAGCAAACTTGGAGTTGTTTTTAGATCTATCCATGCTCATCTCAGCACGACAACATCACACTCAGAGTTTTCCCTTTACAAACAAAAAAGTATTTCCTCTAAATTAGTTTTTGCTAAATTGTAGGTGGAATACGATCTTTACAAAAGCGTTCACGTGTTTGCAGCTGGAAGTTTTCAAATTTGAAACAAAAAAACAAACAAAAGAAGCATTCGGTGCTATAGGTGTTAAGAATGTTTTATCCTTCAGACTTGTTTCACCACATGTTTTCTCATTTACTTCACGTTCTAAAACATAAAAGTGAATTGTGTCGATATCATTATCAAGCAGTTGATGGTATAAATAATGTTTTTCTGTGTACTTTATTATTCATCAGTATGACAGTATAAAAATGATTCAATATATAGATATAGAAAAAGCCATCTATTGTAAAACTACTCTACATTGTTTGTTGTTCATCAAATCCTTATTCAATGTTAGCTGTGTTTTCAATGAAGCTAAAACCTGTAGTGAAGACAGAGGACTATACAGACTGGGCCCCCCAAAAAAGAGTGTCTGGACATTCTGTTTAAGACAATAAATCTGCATATTTGTGGGGGAGGGACTTACATACAGAGCGCTGAGAGGGAAGAGCAGGGAGAGATCTTATGCACTTTTATCGTAACAAGAAAATAAATGTTTGAACAGAACTTTTGGATTTTTCCTTGGTCTTCCTTCCTGGTCATATTTGAATTATGCAACAATATTTATTTTCATATTGTTAATTTGCTTGTGTTTTTTAATCTTTAATTTTTTTTGCCTTGTTTTATTTTACCTCTTTTTTTGACACACCTTGAGCATACTGGGGAAAAAAAGGAAACAAGCAAACAAAATGTGTCCGGTTATGCTTAATGTATTATGGGAAATAAAAAGTGGGAAATAATGAAGATGACACATTAAAGTAATAAAAGAAAAAAGCCAAAACTGTACTTATTTTCCTCGTTTCAGTTTAACCTCACATAACTTTTCCGACGATCGCAGTCTTGACATTGACCCGATTCACAACAAGCACTGAACAACAGAAACAGCATCAGCATTTGGAACAAGGACGCTTCTCTTCAGCAAAGCAAGAATAAAAAGTTTGAACAATTTCCTCTTCTAACCAGCGACTGACCTATTTAGATGGAAGCACAGATTATCACGCTCTTTTTTACAGCTCACAAAGTTCGCAGCTGGAGCCTTTGAACAGCAGCAGTCACAGTTGTTGAAGAAATAATGTGAGTAGAACGTTTAGGGGAGTGTCTGCTTCAAATTCAATGTATGGGAAGTTGTAGTATTTGTAGTAGTAGTAGTAATTCTTGTAGCAGTATAGTGACGAAAATAACACGGCCAGAGATTTGCCGCTTGCACATGGCTTTATGGAAGACAAAACATAAACAAAACATAGACACTCCTCTCAGCATTTGCCACAGCGTCATTAGTTATGTCAGCTTTGACCTTCAGAAAACCAAAACATCAAGTGGAACATCACTGACTTCTGCATATTGCTGTAAGGACAAGTTCAGGTTTAAACATAACTGCATCAAAAGTGTCATATCTATAGTAGTGTAGTAGTAGCAGCTCTGCCCCGCTCTGCCAACCAAAGCCCATCAAGCATTTTCCCACCAACTACTGCAACACACCGATTCAAATGGATTTAATGCATTCTCTGTGTCTGTTTAGACTCTCCAGATTGAAGTAGTAGTATAAATGTCCACAGATTTCCATAGTTGCCCCACTGTCCTTAAACCTAGAGGGCCGCTTTAGTTAATCAGACTTGACCTGGGGCCAAAAACGTGGATTTAAAACTTGGTTTGAGCTGGAGCTGGATTCTGGAATTTTAAATTAGTTCTGATACGTCCGTATAATTCTCATCACAGCTGCATTTTATTTGGAATGTTGTGACACAATCATAAAACAAATGTCGGTAAATAACAATAAAGTAAAGACTGGATTCTAGAGGGTCTGAGATTTACAACGAGGTATAGCAGGACTGTATTGGTGGAGCTGAAGTTGGTTGGATGACAAAGTGCATCAATGGCGACTTTGTGTTAGCAGCAGAGCGCCACATAAAATTGCAAAGAGGACCGCAATTGGCCCGCTGAGACATAGATCAAATACAGTCAAAATAACCAAATAAGAAACATGGTTCTCTCTTTTTTCGGTTTTCATACAAAGCTGATCTAGAGACGTGACAGAGGCCGAAAGCAAAGGTGGACTCAAACTGTTCTGAGAAAACACAAATACAACAGCGTAGCAACGGCGCAGTATCCATAGCCGCTGCTCACCCACTTGACCCCAACTAAACACAACAAACACAATTAGCATCATCACACGGGACGGCAAGACAAACATCGGCGTCCCGTTATCACACACACAAGCTCAGAGGTGACAGCGAGCGCGTCCCGTTATCCAACCACAAAGTCCTGCCCTTCCAGTGTTCTTCCCGTCACGCCTGTCAGGAAAAGAGGTCACCGGGGCTTCACCTCGAGGCCAAAGGGGAATCTTAATTGAGATCTTAATGAGCGCTAAACACCAGTCCGGAGATGAGCGGGGGAAAAAGGCTGCAGGAGGAGAGAGAGAGCTTTGAAGGCGTTCAGATGCAAGCCAGGGCCTCACACAAGGGCTTTAGGAGGGTTAGGCACGGCAAGGCTGCGGATTTGGACGGATTTAGGCACAAACACTGTCGCGGCGAGAAGAATGAGAAACATTTGAGGCACTTAAGAGCTGGAATCAATTATACAAGGAGTGGTCACAGCAGATGTAGTTGGAGTAATATTGTGGCTGTGGTGGTCGTAGGGGATAAAGGGACTGGATGTAACACGGCAAAAACAAACATCTTGAGTTAGTTAAAGGAGACTTGTTCTATTTACTATTTCAATATTTAAGAATTTATTTGCCATTTGCACTATAACAACCTTGGAGGAGCTGTACAAGATGAACCCAGTGTGCACCAAAAAGAGACGGCATACATTGTTTTAGGTGAATGAGTGGATAGCATTCTCGCTTCTATAGGTAAGAAGATCCTGGGTTTGGATCCCAGTCGGAACAGGGTCTTTCTGAGTGGAGTTTGCATGTTCTCTACGTACCTGCACAGGGGTTCTCCATGTTATTAGTGTGTGTACCCTACCACTAAAAACATGCACAATAGATAAATCTTCCAGCTGTGGTAGTCCTGACCAAGCCGAGCGTCAACATCTGGAGATGGGTCACTGAGCAATTACTATGTAGCAGTTACTACGGCGACTACTGCTCCTGACAAGACGCCCTAGTGGCATCAGGATGGGTCAAATGCAGAGGATGAATTGCCCTAGGAGTATAAAAAAATTGCACCAATACATTTAAATCATTGTCTTATGAGCAGCTGGGAAGAAAGTCAGCTTCTCCAAATGGCTGCATGGTTCATGGTAAATGAATCAAAGTGGAGTTTTTGTGGTCACATTTAGCAACTTACACTTGAGATTAACACTAGAACGTCCCAAGCAGTCAATTTGATGGCTTTTTGTTTTGGACGTGCCAATACTCCACTTAGGTAGGTTTTTGGTCCTCACAACTTTCTGACTTTTTCTGTTTCTGTATGCAGTTGATTTCAATGTAATTATGTTCGTGAAATTACCTCCATCCTGGACTGGTTCTGGACTGATTTAGAGCAATATGGGCTTGGAGCAGGTGCTGGTTACCATAGCAACACACTGTTTACGTGCAGCAGTTAGTAGTAATTTTGCTGTATTTCAATTACATTCACCAGTTTTAGCATGTATTAAAAATAATTAAATTAAATGACTCAGTTCGAATAAAGAAGTGAAAATGGGAGCTGTCAATATGACGGCTTTGGGAGTTCGAGTAGTTTAAGAATTCTGGGAGCTCTTGGCAGACAAAATAAGGTACTAAAGATAATCATAGACATAGCAACAGCAGTCATCTCGGAGGACTTGATTCACCAACAACCAATCAGAGAATCACATAAAACACATAAAAGCCGTTGGTCCAGAGGGAGAGGAATGATTGATGCCCATAAATATTAATAGATTTACCAGATCATCACTGTCCTCAGACCCACTGTATTGGGAAAAAATCACTCTAAAATATAAACAAAAAAAACAGGAAAAATGTCTGAAGTTTTGTCAATTGTGGAACAAGCTAGTATCGTTTGTTCTCTGACATGAAACATTATTTTTTCATCTTTCTCTTAATGGGAAATGAAGCAAAACTATCAAAATGTGTTGCATAACTCCGGTGTTTTGTCGAGTTGGTCTGCCCGTCGAGATGATCTGGCTCAGCTGTTAATGATGTAATGCAAACCTGCGCATGCGCGTCTCACGGCAGCCAAAGCAAACAAGATGGCGGACATGTAGTCCGCGAATTGCTTTAAAAGTTAAATACGAACGAATTAAGACACGAATGTCACTTTTAATGCAATTTGAGGCGAGATGTTGATGGTTCCACGTTGTGATATGTGTGTTTTAAGAGTAAGAGTTTCGTGTAAAGTTTGTTTTAAGCAGTCCTATGCTCCTGTGAAACTACACTGCTGCTGTGTGATCGCAGTCCCTGAGTTGACTGCTGCATACGTCAGGCCCATGACGCGTCCTGTGACTAGTCTGTCGGGTTGATAATGGAAATAATAAATTACATTTTATGCATGTATCATACTGTATTCAATATGATTATATTAGGGTGTTCAAACGAAATATTTAATTAGATCGAGTTTTTTCCCCATTCTGGGGGGTTTCTGCGCATGCGCAAATCAGATTTGGGCACACTAGCAGTCTAGTTTCACAGGAGCAGTGGACTGCTTAAAACAAACTTTACACGAAACCCACATATCACAATGCGGAACCATCAACATCTCGCCTCAAATTGCATTAAAAGTGACATTCGTGTCTTAATTCGTTCGTATTTAACTTTTAAAGCAATTCGCGGACTACATGTCCGCCATCTTGGATTGTTTTTGTTTGCATTACATCATTAATAGCTGAGCCAGATCATCTCGACGGGCAGACCAACTCGACAGAACACCGGTTTGACTGTTTTCCCAAAAGATTAAAAAAACGACGCAATTAAGCATTTGTACTTGCATGTTTTTGCAGTTAATGTTTTACTTTAGAAAAAAAAAAGTGATTGCACTAAATGTGTTGGATTGTGAATGAGGTATGAGGCAATATAACCGTCTTGAAGTTAAATTTACTAGTATAGCACACAACACACTCTTCAACATGGATTTTAAACAGTGTATCAAACATTGCATCTTAACGGCAATGTTAGTTGGAAATTGTTCCATTTGGAAATTTTGCTAAAATCGTGCAGCCCTCTAAATCTGAGGCCACGGATCTCTATCAGTAAAAAGACCATTTCCCCGTTCCCAAAGCATGTTCAGGAAAAATGATTTGATGGTATTTTTATCGGGGAAATCTCCTAGCTCTAAGCTGATCCGCTGCGCCTTTACGCGGAGAGGAGCTGAGGAGGCTGTAGTATGTGCCTCCTGGACGTCTCCCTGGGGAGGTGCTCCGGGCGTGTTACGAGGCGATTGACAAAGCCCCGGGGGAAGTCTGGAAGATTACTCCAGGCAGGTTTTCATACCGGGCTTTTTGCGTATCCTAATTACATCTATTTCCCTCATTATCTTGTCGACAATACAGCTCATTGTTTTTTATCGGTCGGACTTGTCTAACAGCCCGGCAACAGGATCCAGAACAACACGAGTATCAGCGTCTGTGCCATTCTTCTCTGGAGCAAATCGGCTGCAGAATTAGAAGAACAAAACTGGGAAAAAATGCCAAACTGAAGCGTTGGCTGCCGATGTTGTAGGCCTATTGTGTTGCGTAACGGTCTAAATTTAGCCACACCAGAACTCAGCGTTTGGGAAGACAGAGACCAAAAATATCCTCCACCTAAAGTCCCAGCGGCCCCCCCTCTTTCTCTCGTCCTTTCGCTCTGAATCCCTGCGTCTTTGTTTCGGTTTGGCTCGACCACACGTTCCTTGTCTGCAGCCGCCTTCTTTTCCAAGAAGAATGATTTGACTTCACACTTTGCAGAAGCTGGAATTAAGCAAAACTCATTC